GGGGATGCTTCGTGACGTGAAACAGTTCCTTTCCAAAAATTTTGATATGAAAGATATGGGTGAAGCATCTTATGTCATTGGCATAAAGATTCATAGGGATAGGTCCCGGGGTATACTGGGTCTATCGCAGGAAACCTATATTAACAAAGTTTTGGAGAGATTTTGGATGCAAAATTGTTCACCGAATGTTGCTCCCATCGCAAAAGGGGATAAGTTTAGTTTGGACCAATGTCCTAAGAATAACTTGGAAAAGGAGCGTATGAAAGATATTCCATATGCTGAAGCAGTTGGATGTCTTGGCTATATTCAAGTTTGTACAAGGCCTGACATTGCCTTTGCCGTCGGTATGTTGGGCGGTACTTGCATAATCCGGGCATGGATCACTGGGGAGCTGTGAAGAGAGTTCTAAGGTATCTCAAAGGTACTATAGATTTCAAGTTGGGTTTTAGGCAGACGGACATCCTGGATGTTGTTGGTTATTCTGATGCGGACTTCGCTGGCTGTGTTGATTCTCGGAGGTCAACTTCCGGGTACGTCTTCATATTGGCCGGTGGGGCTATTTCATGGAGAAGTGTTAAACAATCCTTAATAACTACTTCTACCATGGAAGCCGAGTTCGTGTCCTGTTTCGAGGCTACTTCGCAAGGTGTGTGGCTCAAGAATTTCATCTCTGGACTTAGAATTGTGGATTCTATATCTAAGCCACTTAAAGTTTATTGTGACAACTTAGCTGCAGTCTTCCTAGCTAAGAACGAAAAGTGTGGGAGTCGAAGTAAACACATCGACATCAAGTTCTTAGCCATTAGGGAGCGTGTCAAGAATAAAGTTGTATTCATTGAACACATTAATACTGAGTTGATGCTAGCAGATCCCTTTACTAAAGGCATGCCTCCATTTAAATTTAAGGATCTGATTAAGAAAATAGGACTTTCGTCCTCTTTGTAATTTGTATATACATTCAGTTGAATAATGAAATTCTTTTGCACTTCAGTTTTTCAGATACTTCAGATGTTTTCTTTGAGTGTGTACACAATTCAGTTTATCTCAATAAGGAAACATACTTCAGTGGACTTGAAATGAACATATGGTTTGTTTCATTAAAGTTTGATTACCTAAAGTACTCAAAGGCAATTTGCATTTGATCATAATGGATATTACTTGCGCTAAGGAGGACATATCATTATGGTTGGTGTAAATCCTGTTTTTGAGTTCCGCATTTGCACCAAGTGGGAGAATGTAACGTTTTCCCTATATTGTTATTATTATTATTAAGTCTATTATTATATAATAACAATAGTAATTTAAGTGGTGCAAATCAATAGGCTGACTAAGTATTAGAACTTAGTCAGCATTAGGTAATTGGTTACCTACATTGATGGGATGTAGGTTATTTAGACCCCTAAGTCCTCTCACTGCTCGGTTGACGTATCATACACCTATCTAGAGTCACTGAGAGAAGTGAGAGAAACATAACTGAAACTTACGCAGATTCTACAGCAGCCCGAGGAACTTCTGCAACGAGTCCCTGGTGATCAAGAATCAAAGCTATGGCTGGAGGTTGGTGATCCTAACTCTTTTCCTTAGCCACGTATTTACTGTTTATAACGTGGATTATGTGCTTACATGCTTAGCTCTGATCTATTGTCTTGTTTACATATATGATATGTCACAATCATTTAAATAACGGTAAATGAAACTACTGATTATAATTCGTTAGTATATAATCGCGAATTTACACTATACAGTAAGACATTAAAATTAGTTGTCCCTACTTGAACTAATACCGTGACTACCATAGAAAAAGGACAAGACTAGGCTATCATTAATTTGCAACGTTTATACAATTGGTACACATGTAATTTGTATGTAGCATTCAATATCTATTGGCATTACTATATATAAGGACTATCATTTAGCTGTCTATTGAAACCTACGGCCGCAGGAAAATGTTGTCTCCCAAAGAAAGTTTTGTCACAACTTTCAATTTATTCACATATGGAAATCTCTCACGTGTAAATAATGCAAATATGTTTGGTCATTTATGAAAAAATGAAATGATTTTATCTTTTTTCTTCTTTTGAGTGGCAAGGGAAACTTATCTTTTAATCGTAATTTGTCAGGTAAATCAATTGATCGAATGTAGAATTATAGTTAATGGTTCAGGTGTCGAAATTACATTATTGTGCTAAGTTGAGAGGTCTATATTTGTAACGTTTTTGTAAATATATAAAATTATATGTAATTAACATAACATATGAACTTGATTAATACATGATGTAATATAATATTCCCAACATAATTAATAGTCCATTTTCTATATTAATCAAATTTGTTCGGTTTAAAGTGGGCCTCAAAGTGTATGGGCTGCCACTTAATTTGGACTGTCTTAGTAAAATGGGCTTAGCAAGAACTACCAAGGTCCAATTGACAGAGCACAGCTCTCATTTCTTGGGCTTTAAAACCTCTCGGTTCCCATCATTATTGTGTAGACCATACTATCAAATGATGTATATTTAATATATAAATAATGTATTTTAGCATATTAAAAATGTACATTATATTCAAAGAAAGTACATTTTCAGTACACAAATAATGTACTTTTAGTATGTGCGGGCTAATTATTTTTTATGGGCTCCAAGCACGTAGATACCAAATTGAAGCATGTGCGAAAATTCGAACCCATTTTCTTTGGGGTAACTTTGATACCAAATTGAAGCATGTGCTTCATCTCAACTAAAAGACGCACATTTATATTAATACTCCGTATATATTATATGCTAAACAGGTGGAATCAAGTCTTTATTATTAGTATATTAAAATCTTATTTTAGATATGAACTCCTTCACTTAACAAGATTGGATTAGAACGAGATCCACATTTCTCGCACATGAAAATTAGTTGTGCGTATGAAAGAAAGCCAAATTAAGCTAACAAGAAAAACCATGACCTCATCGTTCTTACGTCATGCGTTGCTGACGGCAGCAGTCCATGGAAAAAATACAGAAATTCTTTAAATACCAGACTGTTTCATGGAAAATGGCTGAGAAACGAGAAATGCGTGATGGTGATGACTACATTAATCCACCCCCATCGGCGTACGCTACTGCATTCATTTCCGTCACCAAACAAACTACCTATTAACTTTCGAGAAATATATTCAAATTCTATCCTCACTGAGTGGTCTCAGAATTGAAGCCAAAGGCCTATAACCGAGCGGCATAACTGTGGCCCCGTCTCAGGTTTGAACCCCAGTATGGAAACATTGACTCTTTGTGTTTCAGTAGGCTGAGAAAGTATGTATGAACAGATACTACATTGTTATTCATAAGTTATTCAATATATAACTCGTACAGAAAGTCAAACTTAAATACGGAGTATATGTATATGTGGTCATAGTGCATATTATTCTAGTATGAATTTGGACCAACAGATCGATCGAGCATATATGCATGGTTGACGACGTTGTCTAATTCGATGTTTTCTCCACGTTGTGCTTAGAAATTTTAAAGAGGAATGCATGTTTTCTTGCCTTTAATATGGTTTAGAAAATTGGGTTATAATTCAAAATCCATGCGCTGCAGGTCTTGAATATAATGTCTATCATGTGCCGCCGCATCTTCTGATCGTCTTAGGTGTGACTTGGTAAAATTCCCTTTTTTTCTTCAAAAACAGCTACCACTTTGTACTAAAAAACAATAACAAAACAAGACCTCAATCTATCTCTCATATCATCATACATCTTTATATATTGACGCAGTCATATGTAATAATGGTGGCCAGTCAGTGAAATATGTCTTATTTTTATATCTGAATGTCACAAATAAGATTGATTCTTGTCAATAATATATATTTTCTATAGACACCCTCTCGATTCTGCATGTGTGTTTAAATGCTATTACACAATAAATGAATTAATTACTCAATACACGTTTTTGGATATATAGTAATTGTGGGCCGGATTAGTTAGACTTAACCCACATACTATCAAATCGAGTTTATTAACAAGATTTTTTAAAAAAAAAATTATTAGCAACAAAGAAAATGGAGACAATTATGCAGTTTTAGGAATTAGACGAAAAAGATGATGATGTTGTTTGGAAGACTTTCTTGGGAAGACTTTTATCCGCAGGAAGTATCGCAGAAATAGTACAGGTAATGATTAATGATTTGATCGGATCGTGCATCCATTTTATATCCAAAATTCCATGAAATTCCATTAGCTTTTTTTTTATACTCCAGAATAATATAATTCAAATTCTTAATTTATTCCTACCGAATTACAATTCATTTCCTTCCTAATTCCTTCTTTCTAATCAAACGTTGTGATAATGTCTGGTAGATACAATTATATTTTGTATATCTTATATAAGTGACACCGATGCTAAGAACCTTGTGGTCTAGTAACACCAAGTTACTCTCCTATATGAGAGATTGTAAGTTCCAGCCTCAGTGAGGTGGTACTTACTCTTCAGGATACCTTCAACGGTTTCTTTAAAAATGTTCAAAAAAATTATATTTCACTCACTGACAACCTTCTTTAATTTAGCAGATGCGTGGATTAATTAAGGCATGCAAGCTAAGCAAAATTGGTAGTTACGTAAAGGCTAATATTCTCTACCTTCCTGGAAATTGTCATCGCAACATGCCACAACCAACGTTTAAATTTCAAAGGAAATCCAATTGGAAATGATAACTGATAGTATACTCCAACTAAAATTCTTGTTATTCTAGAGGAAAATCAATCAAATCCAAGTAATATTTGAAATAAGAGACAAATATTCGAACCTCAATAATAAAATATGTAGATTATATCTTTTTAAATGCCTTGTCGGACGGACTGTAAATAATATTTGGGAGAAAGTTAAAGTATTATTTCACTCAAACATATGGCTGTATCCTGTATGGTTGTATAAGTATCTCCGTCTACTTCTCTTGACTCAGTCAATTATACGCCAAGTTTTATTCTTTTAAAAAATCTCATTTTTTTTTATCAGATTATTATGTAATTGTATGAAGACAGCATGACATATGGCAAGCAGCCAGCAATTTCTATGTGTTATCCATATATTGTATCTATATATACGTCCGGAGCTGAGAAGTTGAAGTAACTATCTTCTATCTACCCCAGCAAATTATTTTATTCACCGGAAAAAATGGTGCTGTCCGACGGCCGGCAGGTGTACCAGAACGTGGTTGTAATGAGGCACGGCCCCCGCCTCGATAACTTCGACAAGCTCTGGGCTGCCACGGCGGACCGGCCCTGGGACCCGCCGCTTTACAGCCCAGGCAAGAGCCTGGCTTTCGACGCCGGGAAGAAGATCCGGGAAGAGCTCGGAGCTCCGATCCACAGGATCTTCGTCTCCCCTTTCCTCCGGTGCCTTCAGACTGCGTCTGAGACTATCAGAGCCCTCTCCGATGACTCCGATACCGCCGTCAATCCTCCCAAAATCAAGGTTTTTCCTGATACATAATGATTTATATATACTTACTAATGCATATATAAATATGGCATTGTTTGATTATTGCTGTTTTTGTGGGGGTTGTGATTTCCAGTCTGGGAAGACGAACCAAATTAATGCTATAATCATCAAGAAGATGAAATGAAGTAATTAAAAGATTAAATCTTTGCCAAGAAACCGAATAAATTGAATGAAAGTATTCTAATTTGAACTTAAAACCCCAGACAATAAGCTAAAACCTTAAAATTCATGCTTGACTTTCTGTAATCTCTATGTTGTTGTACATTGAATTGCTCAGGTTTCTGTTGAGTTTGGATTGTCAGAGATGTTGAACACAATTGCCATAAGACCTAAAGTGGCTCCCAAAGATGGAGACTTCAAATTTGTCATTTCACAGTGTGAAACTCACTTACCACCTGGAACCATTGACCACACTGCAGAACAAGTCTACAAAAAGGTTTCAACTTTAACTTTAATTTTAATCTTAACTACCCCCATTGACTGTTTCTTCCTTCTCAGCTAATGCCAACTTTTTTCTTGTGAAACTATAGCTGCCGGAGTGGCAAGAAACACAACCAGACGCAAGGGCTAGGTACATTGAAGTCCTTAGAGCTCTTGCTGATAAATACCCTTCTGAGAATTTGCTGCTCATCACACACGGTAACTCTCACTATCAGCTTAAACTTTTAGTCCTGTTTGATCCATAACTTTCACTATCAGCTTAAACTTTTAGTTCTGATCCATTGACTATTAGTTTAAACTTTTAGTCATGTTCTGGTCCATTGATTGATGTTATGTCACACACTGTTACTTTCACTATCAGTTAAAACTTGATTGATGTTATGTCACTCACGATAACTTTCACTATTAGCTTAAACTTTTAGTCATGTTCTGATCTGTTGATTGATGTTATGTTGTATAGTAAGTTTCACTATTAGCTTAAAGTTTTAGTCGAGTACAGTTTGGGTTGATTGAATGATGTTATGTTTGGTCAGGTGAGGGAGTGCTGTCTGTGGGTTCTGCATTCATGGAGGGTGATATTAAATGGGTTGAATACTGTGGATATTCACACTTGAAGAGAGCTATCCCGGCGGCCGGCGAGAGCTGCGAGTCCTTTGCCGATGAAGAGTTCAGGCTGCAGAGTGAATCTGGGTTTACATTCCATGACTCGTCTGCTAAGCCCGTCGTAGTATAATTAAGTGTATAAGTAATCATTATTGTTGAAGCAGCTTTATGTTTTGCGTTCTTGAAGTCCCATTATTGATCTGTAATCAGTTGTCCGGCCGGCGGCCGTATCGTATGTTTAAGTCCAGTTTCCATCCGGTGTTTAATCTCTCCAGTTTTTGATCGAAAATTAACAGTCCATACCATGTTTGTTAATATAAATGAACAAATATTAATCAGACCTCAACCTATTGAGAAAGTATGTATGAATATATACTGCATTGTAAATATCAATGTTGTAGAAAGCGCTAGTTGGACACTCGGGAGACGCCTAGCGCCTAGGCGGTACTTAGGCGCCGCCTAGACAGCCGAGTAAACTAAGTATAGGTCTCCACTTTTTTCATTCAAGTGCATATGTTAGATGGTTAGTTGAGTACCTAGCTAGAGAAATATAGAAGAGACTCAAGAGAGTAGTCGAGAAGGCAAAAAAATCACTCGGCCGAATTGAGCACCGACTCAGTCGAGTTAGGTGTCCGACTCAACCAAGTTAGGCGCCCAACTCGGCGCCTAGGGGGATCTAGCGCTTAGTCGACGTCTAGGCTGATTTTTATAACATTAATTGTATAGAGTCCAAGTAGTACTCAAAAAAATATTAATCAGGCTTGCCCGAATTGTTTACATCCGCAGTATTACCGGTCGTTATATCGTGCACTAGGGTGCACAATGCATTATGTGTCCTGCCCTACCCAAAACGAAGTCATTTTGGTGTATTGTCCAAAAAAAAAATCTCTGTTTCGAATGCATAGAAACTCATAACAGAATTGAGAATTCACATAAGCTCATAACAGAATATACATAATCTAACATAATACATAATACACATAAATTCATAACATAATACACATAAACTCTTAATAGAATACACATAAATCTTAACATAATACACATAAACTCTTAACTGAATACACATAAATTCTTAACATAATACACATAAACTCATAACACAAAACACAGAAACTTTTAACTGAAAACACATAATGAGGTTTGGTCCGTTTGAACGGATGGAGCGACATCTGTTACATCAATTCCCGTTAACCGCAATTGAAACAGCGACGTTTTGTACCTGAACGCACATTGCTATGTGCGCCGTGATGCACGATATAAATTGCCCAGTATTACTATTCCCAGCTGCAAACGGGCCAACAGGCCCAAAGTCCTGTTTGCAGCTGGAATAGTAATAATGGGCCAATTATCTGGTTCATCTTTCAAATCACTGGGAACTGCCAAAACAAAATTCTTCAATAAAGACAGTCAGTTCTTGGATTTGAGCCAAAGGAAACTTCCCTAACCACCCACCCACCCACCCCCAGCTAGACAGTGGTTGGTTCAACTTACTTGAAACATAGTGGTGTTGAAAACTTGAAATGGGTGGGCTGTGTTATAATGTGGGACCCCTTTCACAAACAATCATGTTTATTCATAACCACACAAATTTTATAATGTCTTACTATTTGTTCCTTTGTCTGTTCATTACTCCACAATAAATTCACATTAACTATAATGCCCAGAAAATCCATGGTGTCAAGCTGTACAGGGAGACATTGTAGTACTCTGAATTAACTTTAGTCTGTACAAAACATTGGAAGAACCAAAACAAGCAAAAACACAAACATTTGAACAACAATCATGGCTGCAAGAATCTAGCAATAAGATGATAGGAAATAGAGTGCATTAAAATGATTGAAAAGCTTCATGTACATCTGGAGCTATGAATAAAGTAAGCAGAACAAGAACTAAGGTCACCTACATTTCTGTGCAGTCTCACAGAAAACCAAAAAGAAAAGCTTATTCCCCCTTCTACCTTTACAGGTTGCAGCTGATGCTATAATGAGATGGCAAAATAAGAAAGTCATCCTCCTCAAACTTTCAAAAACCACTTGAAGGGTGACCTTACCAAGATGATCTTCTCTCTAAACCTGCTGTCAAATCTCCATCTTTGGCACCATTTGCACACCAAAATCAGCATTTCATCTTTATACCTTCTGCTGAGTTTCATTGACTTTATAGGAATCAGGAGTTATTGATGCCAACCATAAACCTGGAAAAACACTCTGCATATGGAAATTTGGGATATTTAGATCATCATATCACAAAGAATGGTAATAATACTCTATAAAGATATCAATCAAGAAAAATGGTAACTACAAGATCACAAGTTCCTACCCTATTAGTCTGGTTTGAGTCGATCAGTTACAGACAATCTAATCTAAGCTCGTTTAGCTCATTCTGTGTTGGGCCAATTATGTTCTTGGTAGGGTCCCGGTGACCCAGTTAGGTCACAAGATTTACTTTGCCGGTTAGGATCACAAGATTTATGCAGAGAGAAAATCAGGGAGGGAGAGAAGTTAGAGAAGAGTGATTCTTACATCAAGCTGTTTCTGAACACTCTTTGATCTCTTTTTAGGCCTTCTTGCAGGCTTTGATCCGGTCATGGAGAATATATCTTCCTCAATCTCTTCTCGCGAGAGTGAAATGGAGAATCTTTGTCTCCTCTTTCGTTGAGAGGTATTGGGTTCGGCTTCCGGCCTGATCACATTCCGGTGACAAGATTGAGTTGTATTCTCGTGCGTACCCGAACCTCCTCCGGCGGCTCTGAACTGATCCACGTTCATATTCCGGTGTGCCGGCTTTCTGGGCCGCAAATTCCACGTCTTTGATACCGGCTCCCCCCCTGCTTCCTCCTCTACTGGCGCAGCCTCTTTCCCCGCATCTTGAAGCTCAGCCGCCGCCGCCGCCGTCTTCTTCTCTTCCGGAGCTTCTTCCGCCTTAATTTTCCGAGGGAGTTTCAGCAGTATCTTTGATCTGCCTTCTTTGTTCCCCCCCACCGCATCCACCTCCGATACCTTACGTTTCTTCTCCGACTTCCCGATACCCTGATCTGCTGATAAAGCTCCGTTCTTTCCGCTCTCGGCAGCCGTATTCTGCGGGCTTCTCTCCTTCCTGTTCTTACCCGATTCCGAACCCGAATCCTCCCTCCGCAGCGGCGAACCATACCGCGACGGCGAAGAACCGGAATCCCCGTCCCCGGACGACGAGAGCTTCCCGCAGCGGCCGCGCTGGTGGTTGTTGGAGTGGTGATTCTTCTTCCACATTTGCGGCAACCCAAAGTTATGCAGCGGCTGTGACTTCGCCGGCACAGTCGACGCCATACTCTCTCTCTCTATACACACACAAATACAGATTCCAAGATTATATCTGTATGCAAACCTTTCTTCTCCAGATTTCCACTCAATCCCAGAACATTCAACTTCGATCGCAGAAACTCAGCACAAAACTAAACATTCACCGATCGCAAACCAATCTCCACCCCCAAACCGATCATCAGAAGTTAATACACACACATATACATATACATATACATATACGTTTGAAAGTGTATGTATAGATTGGGATTGTGAGAAGAGTGAGAGATTGAGCTTTGGATGAGAGAAATAGAGAGAGACGTGAATTTGAGCAAAGAGACGGAACAGACGGTTATGTGAAGCTTTTTTTTTTTTTTTTTGGGAGCTCTTTTGTTTTTCCACTTTTACCCTTCCGCCCCTTGACTTGACCATTTCTTTTTTCCTTTTCCTACCCTTCTACACATACTATTTATTAATATTATTATTATGAAGAAAATAATTTATCCATAGTTGAAACTTCGCAAGTAAGGCCCGGGTTTGAAGCATCTTTAGCGGTATGAAACGTAAATGCGTTACTTGTTCTAACATCACCTATCTTAAAGTATTGATAAAATATTTCTTTTATTTCATGAATTTCGGGGCTGTATGTAATCATTTGAAAATATTTTACTCATAGTTTGAAGTGTCGTGAATAAGTCTGTGATCTGACGTATCTTTCACGTTATTAGACGTAATGCATTGTTTGCAATGATATCACGCATGTTGAAGAGTGTGTGAATGGTGTGATACAATGTTATTTTGATTCTGCGTATATGAAGTGCAGTATAATGTATGCGTGGTATTTACTAGTCACCGTATGTATTAATTTCTCCATTTCTTGAGCTTATATTGACCAGTCTAATTTTACATATCGTTGGGCCATTCAGTCATATATAACGATCTTGTGGTCTAGTGGCATGAAGTAACTTTCCCAAGTGAAATGTCATGGACTCGATCTCCAGCGGACCGGTATTGAACAGATACCACATTGTAACAAAGTCCTCTTAATTCTTTTGGTTAAAGCTCAAAACCATACCAAAAGTATATACAATTTGTAAAGCGCGTTTAATATAATATCGCGTGTTAAATCTGATATGTTTCTCCCAAAAACCCTAGATCAGAGATTGTGCAAGGGAGCATATTCTTCTCCACACTGACATCTAGAAATGGTTATCTTTTTATTCTTTTAGTTTCCCCCTTAATGGAAACCCAGCACCTCCATGTGGATGCCACCACCTATATATGTTGTTCTCAACTAAAATATTGTCTACCTTAACAAGGATGTTTCTCCTAGCACAAAAAAGAGACCAAAATGGGTACCAGCAAACACACACATTCCTTGTACATTGTTCAAGAAAAGTTACAAACTAGAATTGATACAATTTGGCAATTTCCACAATAAACTACACCAACCATTAACAAACAAACATTACTTCCATGCCTGTACAAGAATCAGTTGCTTGCTTTTTCAGCAGGCGATTCAGTTTTCTACTTTAGTTGTTTCCCAAACCGGCTTGAATTTTCAGCGATATGGATTTATTGCACACAACAAATGCTTATTATGTCTCAGAAATACACGGCCAATCATCATCGGGCTGCAGTTCTAGTCCAGACTCCACACTGCACTTCCAAGAATCATAACCTGAAGCAGGTCCTAGTGTATGCCTATCATCTGCCATTTCTGTATCAAGAAAACTGTTAAGACCCAATATTGCGTTATGCATCAAATCAAATCTAAAGCCATGATGCTCCTTGTGGCTCAAGAACACTTTTTAGAATGCAGTGTTAACAAGAAGCACCACGTTGAAAGGTATCAGCAGAGCACATAATAAGATGCACTACCTCTCATGTATTTTCCCCTACCATACACACTCGTAATAAATACGAGAGGAACAATGAAACAGAAGGTTAGCGGGTTGGTCTTACCAGAAAATTTATTACCTGCACAGCAACGGTGGCAGCCTGGAAACAGACTAGGTATCTAAACCTCAATCACCCTATCCAATGTCATGAATCTTGGATCCACCAATTAAAACTAACCACAAATCCCATCTTTTGGCTATATATGGGATCAAAAAGTTTATATCTTCCATTCTTCCTGCTTGACTCAGTGGATAAATAGTAAGTGTTGCCATAGAAAGAATGGGAGTTTAAAATAGAATTTACTAAAGGAATATTAATCTCACCAGACATAAGCATCATGCACAAAGAGTATTTACCAAATTCAGGCACTGAAATTTAGCCAAATATACTCCCCATTTCTTTAATGGTCCTCACACAGCAATTTCCAGCAACATTGGCATTTGGTAATTTAAAAATAAAAAATCACCACAGTACTCTTCCTGTAACAAAGAATGATATATTGCTTCCTCCCCCATTTTTGAATCAGGGTGAGATAAGGTTGTTTGTTCACTGGTATAGTTGCAGCCACACTAATTGTACTGCATAACTGCCACTTCAGGAAAAAAGACAATATGCAAAATGACAAAACATAAGACTGGTTGAATGAACAAGCTAGCATCAACCTGGCATGCAGATTTAAAGAATCTGAGTTCATCTTCAAATCAAACTCTGTTCACACTAAAAATGTTAGTCACAAGTCCATAAGACAAGATGCACGAGTTGCACCAATGTGCAATTTCATTCTACTACCAGGAAACAAAAACTTCCCATTCTCCTTGAAATGTATTGGTCAAATTATTAAGCCAAAAGGCCCTAACCAAGTGAAATAGTGAACTGGTATGGTTTCAAGAGTGCAATTTTAAAGGTGAATTGCTTCTTAATGTCTCCCTTCCCATATAGTCTATTCAAGTTTATTAATAAAAGGGTCGAGGCTGTCCAAACTTCCCATGCCACTTGGTGGTATTAAGTTTCTCACTGTTAGCTCTGACTTTGCAGTTGCATAACTGCCCCAAGCTACTTGATTAGAATTTCAGTCTAGATATATTGTGCTTACTTGGAAATCAGAAAGGTATTTTCCTTTTTTTCTCAATATGCACTTAATGCCTTTAGCCTTTAGCACTGTGTTGATTATGGTATTAGCTCAAGCTTAGCTAAAATGTTAGAAGATCTAGGCTTAATTCCCATTTTAGAGCTATTTAACTAAACTTTTCAATCACGTTTAAGCAATGTATTGTCTTTTTACTGCTTAAACTCATTTACATAAAACATAGTGATTTTATAACTTTAAAATGAAATGTACCAGTTGAACTGATCAATCTTTTGGTTAAAAATCTTGTAAAGTATGCATATCCCATTCGTCAGATTTTCCCATTAAGGAGTTTGAAATTTTGAATTCATAGATTATTAGACCTTGTGGGAAGTGTTATTACTCCACAATCCATATCATGTAAGAAGCTGCAGTAATAGCACAATAGGAGATTCAGTGAGTAAAAAGGAGTACTGAGTAGCACAAGTTATTCCTGATAGTGCATGTCAAAAGTAAGGCTCCTAGTTCAAAATTGATATACAAATGGAATTCAGATAATTCATTTCTACATTTGTGCCTTCTTTTTAATCATTCAATTAATGGACAATTCATTTATGACAACTGCAAGAAACAATTTCACTTGCTGAGTTCTATATTAAGTCAAAACAAAAAAAAAAATCCAAATAAAACACTAAAGCACCATTAAACTGCAAAAGCCAAGAGTGCCAATATTTTTTCATATAAACATGGAAAATATATTAAAAAGCAGGCAAGAAAAAGAAAAAGTCAAAAAACAATCCCTTTGATCCATCTAGACTAAGCCAACGGCAGTGAATTGCTATTCTAGGCAAGTGAGGTCACAAAAGATGAATGGCTTTGCAACAGTAAAGAGATAAAAGAAATGCAATACAAAGTTAAACTTGTATTCAAACTTTAAAACTCTGAAAGTTTGCACGATAAAAACTTATTTCAACAATTCACTAAGTTCAGCCAGAAAGTAAATAAAACACCAGGAGAAAGATCCAGATTTCACTTTCATTCTATATGCTATAGCTAACTAGGGCATCATCAGACCTTTAGCACCAGAAATCCGTCAACCTTTGGTAAAGCACTTGAGGGAAGACCAAGCACCTTTATGATCTTACCAACCCTGCAAGCAAAAGTCATTCTGAAACCCATCAACCATCAAACTAAACAAAAAGATTTGCAACCATATAAATGAAAGAGGAGAACAAATGCCACCTTTCCAGTATTTATAGAGACTTAATAGTCATCTGGGCTTATTTTGAACTTCACCTTTGTAGGACACAATTTCTGCAAAAACAAAGACAGCACATCAATAAGAAAGTAAAAAAGCAGCATGTTAAATGAGCACAGTGAAAGGAATTTCAATTGACAAAAAGAAAAAATGTTATAATAGCTACATCAATTTCTTTCTGAAGCTCTGCTGGTCTCCTTATTTTCTGCCTTGAAGGCTTGGTTGCAGTCATAGAAAGCAAGTCCTCTGCAATTTCTTTTGCAGTAAGAGGGAAAACAAATCTAGCTGTAAACTTTGGCACCTCCTCTTTTCTCTTTTTCTTATTCCTCAATCTCTTTGGTTTCTCCTTCATCTCTGCTGTCACCTTGGTTACTGCCGTTTCAACATCAGTTGGATTAGCGGCCCTTGGAATTTGATTAGGCTTTCTTTTCCTCAAATTATAGACCTTTAGTTTCGGTTGATGAACATCACCAGCAATAATGAATGGTGGATCATCATTTTCCTCAAACACATCTATCTCCTCAATGCTCTTTGCCACTACTTTCTCTTTGCCCTTCCTGGATAATGGCTGATTCTCATCTTCTTCCAGCACTGGCATTTTTACATGCAACTCTTCAATGCTCTCTGCCACTACTTTCTCTTTGCCCTTTCTGGATACTGGTTGCTTCTCATCTTTTTGCAAAACTGGCATTTTCACATGCATTTCCTCAACGCTCTTCCCCACCACAGCATTGCCTTCTTTTGGTGCAGAACCACTCATCATTTGCATTGCAGCAGTCCTCATACCCTTATTCCCATCAAACCTTTTTGCCAAAGATGAAATGGAAAGTGACATAGTCTTTGCGTTCTCTTCCATTTTTACATGCAACTCTTCAATGATCTCTGCCACTACTTTCTCTTTGCCCTTTCTGGATACTGGTTGCTTCTCATCTTTTTGCAAAACTGGCATTTTCACATGCATTTCCTCAACGCTCTTCCCCACCACAGCATTGCCTTCTTTTGGTGCAGAACCACTCATCATTTGCATTGCAGCAGTCCTCATACCCTTATTCCCATCAAACCTTTTTGCCAAAGATGAAACGGAAAGTAACATAGTCTTTGTGTTCTCTTCCATTTTTACATGCAACTCTTCAATGCTCTCTGCCACTGCTTTCTCTTTGCCCTTTCTGGATACTGGTTGCTTCTCATCTTTTTGCAAAACTGGCATTTTCACATGCATTTCCTCAACGCTCTTCCCCACCACAACATTGCCTTCTTTTGGTGCAGAACCACTCATCATTTGCATTGCAGCAGTCCTCATACCCTTATTCCCATCAAACCTTTTTGCCAAAGATGAAATGGAAAGTAACATAGTCTTTTCGTTCTCTTCCATTTCTGCAGAATGAAACACCATATCCAGCATTTGAGCATTCTTTTCTTTTTTCTCTAGATTCACTTCCGGTTGCTGCAACGGTGCGGCCATCATTTCTGCAACTGGCTTCTTGTATGAAGATGAAATTGGTAACCTCTGCTGTCTCTTATGAGCAGCCTCCCTCTCAAATTTATTAGTTGATTTAGGAGTCCGACGTTTTTTTGGCACCTCCATGGTCAAATTAAACTTAAGAGGGCTCGCCAGTTCAGCTTCTGTGGATGAATGACAGTGCAGAGGTTGTAAAGAAGAGGATTTTTCTAGGCTTTCTTCAACTGGCCAAGTCAAAAGCAATCGTTTCTTCAAAGGTCTGACAGCTGTATCTAATGACGATATTCCAGTTATTTTGAATGGAGAAGGATGAGTATCCTGATTTGGCTGTTTCAAAGGTATGATGGGATATGATGACTCCCCAATGGCCCTTCTTTTTAAAGATACTAATGAAGGATGCTGCAGCTGTGGAGGTGGCTCCAGCTGCTTCAGTGACGCTACTGATTCTTCAAGTCCCAACTTTGAAAGTCGCAAAGTTATGATTTCAATGTCAAGCAATAGAGACTCTGAAATTTGTTGTGAAGTCATAGTTGACCCTCCAGCTGAAGCTTGCACTAGTGTGTTGCTCAGAGGAGTCTCCATTTTGTCAACTGGAGGTCGCTCCTGCTGCTTCAGTGATGCTACTGATTCTTCAAGACCCAACTTTGGAAGTGGCGGAGGCTTGATTTCATTGACAAGCAATAGGGACTCTGAAATTTGTTGTGAAATTGTAATTGATCCTTCAGCTGCAGCTTGGACTATTTTGTTGCTCAGAGCAGTCTCTGTTTTGTCAACTGGAGGTGGCTCCTGCTGCTTCAGTGATGCTACTGATTCTTCAAGTCCCAACTTTGAAGGTTGCAAAGCCATGGTTTCATTGTCAAACAACAGAGACTCTGAAATTTGATGTACAGTTGAAGTTGATCCTCCCGCTGCAGCTTGGACTAGTTTGTTGCTCAGAGCAGTCTCTGATTTATCAACTGGAAGTGGCCCCTGCTGCTTCAGTGATTCTACTGATTCTTCAAGACCCAACTTTGGAAGTGGCGGAGGCTTGATTTCATTGACAAGCAATAGAGACTCTGAAATTTGTTGTGAAATTGTAATTGGTCCTTCAGCTGCAGCTTGGACTATTTTGTTGCTCAGAGCAGTCTCTGTTTTGTCAACTGGAGGTGGCTCCTGCTGCTTCAGTGATGCTACTGATTCTTCAAGTCCCAACTTTGAAGGTTGCAAAGCCATGGTTTCATTGTCAAACAACAGAGACTCTGAAATTTGATGTACAGTTGAAGTTGATCCTCCCGCTGCAGCTTGGACTAGTTTGTTGCTCAGAGCAGTCTCCGATTTATCAACTGGAAGTGGCCCCTGCTGCTTCAGTGATTCTACTGATTCTTCAAGTCCCAACTTTGAAGGTTGCAAACTCATGGTTTCATCATCGAACAGTACAGACTCTGAAATTTGTTGTGAGGTTGCAGTTGATCCTGCAGCAGCAGCTTGGACTATTTTGTTGGTCAGAGCAGTCTCCATTTTGTCAACAGGAAGCGGCTCCTGCTGCTCCAGTGATGCTACTGATTCTTCAAGTCCAAACTCTGAAGGTTGCAAAGTCATGGTTTCACTGTCAAACAATACAGACTCTGAAATTTGCTGTGAAGTTGTAGTTGATCCTGCATCAGCATTTTGGACTAGTTTGATGCTCAGAGCAGTCTCCAATTTGTCAACTGGAAGCGGCTCCTGCTGCTTCTGTGATGGTACTGATTCTTCAAGTCCCAACTCTGAAAGTTGCAAAGTCGTGGTTTCATCATCAAACAATACAGACTCTGAAATTTGTTGCGAAATTGTAGTTAATAGTGCAACAGCATCTTGGACTAGTTTGTTGCTCAGAGCAGTCTCCATTTCGTCAACTGGAAGCGTCTCCTGCTGCTTCAGTGATGTTACTGATTCTTCAAGTCCGAACTTTGAAGGTGGCAAACTCATGGTTTCATCATCAAACAATACAGACTCTGAAATTTGTTGCGAAATTGTAGTTGATCCTGCATCAACATCTTGGCCTAGTTTGTTGCTCAGAGAAGTCTCCATTTTGTCAACTGGAAGCGGGTCCTGCTGCTTCTGTGATGGTACTGATTCTTCAAGTCCCAACTCTGAAGGTTGCAAACTCATGGGTTCGCCGTCAAACAATACAGACTCTGAAATTTGTTGCGAAATTGTAGTTGATCCTGCATCAACATCTTGGCCTAGTTTGTTGCTCAGAGAAGTCTCCATTTTGTCAACTGGAAGCGGGTCCTGCTGCTTCTGTGATGGTACTGATTCTTCAAGTCCCAACTCTGAAGGTTGCAAACTCATGGGTTCGCCATCAAACAATACAGAGTCTGAAAGTTGTTGTGAAGTTGTAATTGATCCTGCAGCAGAATCTTGGCCTAATTTGTTGCTCAGAGTAGTCTCCATTTCGTCAACTGGTGATGGTTCAGAGTTAGGGAGAACAAACGTAAAATAGTAATGACAAAATGGTCAGAAAAACACAATCATGCTGTATATAGAAACCAGCACTCATAGATAGAAAAATTCATAGATGCATCAAGGAATTGACCAAAAAAAACTGAATTTATAGATAGAAACATTCATATCTATATGCAGTCATCTACATGCACCCACAAATAGATTCATAAGCATATACCCACACACATACACACTGAAATTAGGTACATACACAGGAGGATTCTTCAGTGCTTAGAATTTTCAGACTGTTAAAAATCTTAAAATGCATATAAGAAACAAATTTATACTGATCCAGCACAAACACATGCAGAGCCAGACAGGATCTATGCGGAAAGAAGTTTCATATGGTCAGTCTAATTTTTCAGGTTTTGATATATATATATATATATATATATATATATATATATATACTAGTATTTTATATGCGCAATGCGCAAAAAATATATGCTCAATATTAAAATTAAATATTAAAATCTTAGTTATATTAATTTTTTTAAAATAATAGTGTGTGTGTGTGTATATATATAATTGTATAATTCATATTAATATTATTGAGGTAAAAATATAGAAATGATAAATTACTAAATATAACTATGGTAACATTTTAATTAAAACCTAAATGAATTCAAACTTACCATTGAAGGATGTAAGAAAAAATATTGTGTATGCATGTCCATGGTAATAATAATGTGGAAAGATAACAGATGTTATAACGGCAAGGATATTTTTGTCCAAAAAATTATGTAGTACAACTTTTATAGCATAAGGTACAAAAAAAATTAACAGAAAAAAACGGACATAAACCAGGGGTATAACCTGGATTGAAACTTATTATGTTTTTAGATTAGATTAGATTTTATATATATATATATATATATATATATATATATATATATAATTTAAAAAAAAAAAAAAAAAAAAAAAAAACATTCCAAAGAGAAGGCGGTGGATCTAGGCGGACACATGAGAACTTACATATACTCTAAGATCAATGGGCTAAAGTGAACAAATCCAGTCTACAAGAATACACATGTATACCTAAAGTGTATCGTAGACTCTCATAGAATAAATGACAGATTTACGGTGATTTAGAGAGATACATACACTGATAAGTTGAGTCCTTTTCAACTTCTGGTCTCTCCATCCAAGTGAAGATGAGTTGTGAATTGCTTCTCACGCCGATAAATTCTTCATGTGTACCTTGAAAAAAGAAAATGCTTGTTCAAGAGAAACAAAAAAGAATAAAGTAAAATAGTTAAGTATCAAATAGAGAGAGAAAGAGAGACACTTATGGATCTCTGATTTTGTTTTATTACAACAATCTGATTATTACAATTCATGTGGGAAAACCTCAATGGCATACCTCTGATTTTGGTTTATTACAACAATCTGATTATTACAATTCATGTGAGAAAACCTCAATGACATATCTCTGATTTTGGTTTATTACAACAATCTGACTATTACAATTCACGCGATAAAACCTCAAAAACATATCTCTGATTTTGGTTTATTACAACAGTCTGATTATTACAATTCATGCGATAAAACCTCAAAAACATATCTCTGATTTTGGTTTATTTCAACAATCTGATAATTCAATTCATGCAAGAAAACCTCAATGACATACCTTAAATCAAAAAGGGGAATGGCGAGAGTGAGAGATGGGCAATAGAGAAAGATCTGCAAGTAATCACATATACGAAAGCGAGTTGCTATATATTTTTTCCAAAGGAAATGAAACTTCTTCAGAAACCCTAGATGAAGAGGGGGGCGAGAGAGAGAGAGAGAGAGAGAGAGAGGATTGGGGAAAGCAAAAGTAGTGAGTGACTGATGAGGAAGCAAAAAGGGCTGTAATATACTGAGGAGATAAAGAAGATAAGTGGGCCTAATGACAAAATTACTCCTGCCGTTTTTAATTTTATGCAGATTACAAGAATCCAAATGAGGGTTTAGGATTATCACAAATATAGGTAGGATTTGGGAAATTTAACAAGGTACGTGGCATTCACATGTTTTTGCATGTTGACAGCAAAGTGTAGAGATAGAAAACCAGTGGGCTCTCTTCTTTTCTTCAGTTTCAAAACTCAAAATACCACTATTCAATTAGTATACGACATCTTTTGCTAGACTTATCACCTCACTAAAGCACGAAGCAAAGGAAAAACCCCAATTTTTCTAAGGAGTTAGTCAAGTGGCTGAGGAAATAATAAATTCGAAGGGTCTTAGGCCATCAACCAGATGAGTTAGCCATAATGAAAAGGATCTGAGGTCAGCCAAATGGATAATAATCATAAATTCAAATGTTTAGAAGTTGAACCTCCCACTTCTCAACTGTTACTACTAAATTGAGGAAAAGATGGGTGGTTTTCTCAATGATAGAAATATTAAGGTCATTAGTCAACAAACATAATAGAGCTTTAGAGGAAAAAAAAAGGATATTAAGTAAAAAACCCTTTGTTTATGTAGTGTTTCAAGTCAATCAAAATGAACTTCAACTATTAAAATCTAGCTAGATGATTGCTAAAATATTATATCAAGGTTGTCTTGGCCGTTTATCATTGAGAGTACTAAATTTGTCTAGTCACGTCAAAGAATTGCCAATTATGTAGAAATAATAGCTGTATGAGAGGCACAAACCTCGGGACAGAGTGAAAGCAAACAACTGCTAAGTATGAGAGTCAACACAGGCAAGAATGAGATGCAGACTATTTTTCTTTACAACCAAAGAAGGATTGTACAACTTATCAACAAACATCTTGGTAAATTTTTTCCATAGGTGTTCCTAAAATATAAAATATTCCCACATCAGAAGCATACAGAAAGTAAAACTCCAAATTTGCATGTAGAAAACAAAGTTGCATCAAATAGCCCAATTTGGTAAAATGTAAACAATCAAATATTAAACTCAGCATAAGTTGCAAGCATGTAAATATATAATGTCAATCTATTGCAAAATACATTTACTTGCAGTGAGCTGTGGAACGGAAACAATGCAATGCAGCAATGCAGAATTAGGAACCTCAGTTAGATTGCAGCTAGTTCTCATTACCCCCTCCAAAAGTTATTTTGTAATTCCCATCCTCATGCATTGTTCCATTCCATATCTGCCCAGCACGAACACTTCATATATTTCCATTATTCCTTTATCCTTATTCTCACCCCGCTCCCCCCCCCCCCCCCAATTGAAGGGAAGGCTTACGGGGCATCCATGCAGTAAAATCATCTACACCTGAAACTCAAAACAAGAGATTCATTATAGTTCGGCAATCAGCACCAACAAGATATATAGGCCTTCATTATCCAGTGAGTCCATAAGAACCCACACCTGCAATGTCACAGCTACAAACTGTAGCTTATATTCATGAATATATAAGCTCTAATGACAAACATAAGAGATATTTCTAAAAAACTATCATTTTTACTTAAATGAAAAATAATAGTAATAAACACCATTAAATTTCATTGCAGAGTCTT